CTCCAGTGGGTAGAGTCCCAAGCTGTTTAGCCTTTGCTCATAAGACAATCTCTTCATTCCAGGGATCACCTTAGTTCTCTGTACTGCCACCAATGAAATGATATCTTTTCTTAAATAAGGGGCCTAAAACTCCTTACAATACTTCAGTTGTGGTCTCACCAACACCTTGTACAGATGTAGTATGAGTTCCCTAATCTTGTAGTCCAAACTCTTAAATAAGGGCCAGCATTTCATTAGCCTTCCTTACTATCTGTTGCATCGATGTGCTAGCTTTCTGTTATAAAGTACAAGTGTCCTCAAGTCCCTTTGTGTTGCAGCTTTCTGCAGTTTTTCTCCATTTAAACAACGCTGCTTTTTTGTTCTTCTTTCCAAAATGAACTATATCATATTTCCCACAATATACTCTATTTGTCAACTTTTCGTTCACTCACTTAACCGATCAATATCTCTCCGTAAACTTTTTTTTTTAAAAATCCCTCTTGCAACCAGCCTTCCCACTAAGGAACTAATATATAAATAGTAGCAGTTCCAGCAGTGATCGTAGGAACTGCAGCTGCTGGAGAATCTGAGATAACAAGGTGTAGAGCTGGATGAACACAGCAGGCCAAGCAGCATCATAGGAGCAGGAAGGGTCTAGGCCCGAAACGTCAGCCTTCCTGCTCCTATGATGCTGCTTGGCCTGCTGTGTTCATCCAGCTCTACACCTTGTTATCGCAGTTCCAGCAGTGATCCCCGTAAAAACCCATAGATCATGGGTCACCAATCTAAAAAGAACTCCCTGTCCCCACTTGTTGCTTCCTGCCCATGAGCCAATTCTTGATCTATCCGACATACTACAGTGTCCTATGTTCTTTACTTCAATGAATTCAACAGTTTGTACCATTACTAATAAGCATGTCTACTATTGCAGAAGAATGCACTGGAACCTGCAAGCAACAGATCCTTCATCATTACATACTGTGGTGAGCTGTTAAGTGCCTTAAAAATTTGTACTGAAGAAGAAAATTTCAGAATAATTGCTATTTCAATTGAGCATTAGCAAATAAAATCAGTTTGCATTTAAAAGAAAAACAGGTTAAAGTTGTTTGGCTAGGCATTTTAAATACACTATGATAAAAAATACACAAATTGTACAACGTTTGGTGATGCCAAATTGCATAAATATGTACATTCTTGTCTCTACAAAGATACATTTTTAGAATTACCATACTAAGTCAGGACATGTTAGAATGATCTTTTTCCTAGGGAGAGGAATCCAAAACTAGAAGGCATAGGTTGAAGGTGAGAGGGGAAAGATTTAAAAGGGATTTAAGGGGCAACTTTTCACGCAGAGGGTGGTGTATGTATGGAACGAGCTGCCTGACAAAGTGGTGGAGGCAGGTATGACTACAACATTTAAAAGGCATCTGGATAGGTACATGAATAGGAAGGGTTTAAAGGATATGGGCCAAATGTTGGCAAATGGGTCTAGATCAGTTTAGGATATCTGGTCAGCATGGATGGGTTGGACTGAAGCGTCTGTTTCTGTGCTGTATAACTCTGACTCTAATTAGCAACTGTAGCCAAGGAGATACAATATGATATTTTTAATGTTAGTGTTCTACAATTTCAACCAAAAAAACTAAGTATTCAACTAGTAACACACAAGTAGCACATAGGTTTTGCAAAAAAAAAGTTCTAATTACAATTAAGAACTAAAAAACACTAAGTTTCTACTCGGAATATAAGGTTGTGTTTACAATTTAGATTTAGCATCGATTAAGCTATTTCAGATAAACTGGCAGTTTATCTGAAATTAAGGGCCACCTCCATCGAGACTCCTCCGAATAAATTCAATGCAGTGTCACATGTATTTACGAGTTCTCAGTGAAACCATTGGACGTCCCAGCGCACATTGCAAACCTGCCAAACCCTAACTTGGATGTTGGTGTACGGCTTTTTGGTGCACAATGTCTAAACTTGTTTTAAGGTTGGACTTTACGCGTCCCAAATAAAGGCGCTGTCCTGGGTATGACTGCGAAAATCCCCATCAAGCTCTATTGACGCGTTTATGCTTAGATGATTGCTCAAACTACATCACGCTGGCAGCTGCAATGTACAACCCTATTAGTCAAATGACCTCGATATTCTTATATGGAAACATCAACTGGTTGCCTTAAGTGAGGCATTTTATATAGTAATATAGACATATTTATTCTGAATGCTGGCGGTGACCTCATGAAATACACGTCATTAGTGTAGCAGCAAATAGAACTCGAGTGAAAATTATCTGGTGACCGACCCAAGGTAATCATCTGGTAAGATGTTTGTTGAGGCGTCAGGTTTACTGATCGCATGTTTTAACGATACATTATTGTAGGTTTGATGTTACTATCTACACATTTTGAAGTGTGGCAATCCACTTAACCTGTCTGTACTGATTAGTAGGGGCGACTAGAGTTTAGTTATTCATCAAACTCCTGGAATTACACAGGTTCATATTTTTGTTCCTAGATATTTCAGAATACCAGAGCTCATTTTTACTAAATAAGGATAATCAGTCAAATCGGATTATTTACATTCGATAGAATGGAACCGTAATTGATATATGTTGCTCTAACATGTCTTCGGATTGGACAAGGGGCTGGTTCCATCCGACTGTCCATTCAACTGCAACGGTAGAAAGCAATGGGAGAAAATAGTGAAAAAGAGTTGCCAATTCATATTCGTTGATTACGACTGCAGAAACATCTATATAAATAAAAGCGATAAAGTGATTGACAAGAATATTATGTGAGCAAAGAATCTTGTAAATTTTTTTTTAAACGTGTTAATTTTACCGAGAGTTCGCAACCGCAAAGGTAACGGCGAAAAAAATCTCACAAGCAATCTTTAAAACAAAAAAAATGAACGAAAACGTGCGCTTCCCAAATGGGATACTCGACATTTGTGCATGTTTGAACGTTCTAAATAGTTGAACCGTCTCTAGCCATAACATAACTCGTTTCACTCCACAAACTCGCCGCTTCGCACGGGGATTTTTTTCTTAAAAAAAAGCTTTATTCGATTTACTTCACTCTTATACAAAGTTTTCCGTCGTATTAAGGATTAAAGAAAATTTATTTCAACAATCTAAAAGATGTCGACTGAAAATTTCTTCGAAGGGATTTCAACAATGATCTGCAAAGTCTAGAGACAAGTCAAAATTGTAATCAATTGCATAATTGTTATGGGATTTTGAGGTGGGTTGCGAAGAATGTTTGTAATTCAAAAAAATCAGTCCGATCCCACTGATCACAGCAAATAATTTGCCGCGTAGTGTAATTCAAGAACGTAATTCTCGCTATTTACTGTTTCTCTGTACGAATTCAAAGCAAATTTTGCAAGTTAGTTTCATGCAGTTCTTTTAAGCAATTTGAATGTTTTGCCTCAAAAAGGCAAGAAAACATTTATCAAAGAAAACGTGTCACCTCAAATTCAGCAGGAAAGTATTGAGATAAAAAGATTTAAGACAAAGATGATACACATCAGTGGCTGAGGTGCAAAAACATATCTGGATTCTCCAGCATCTGCAGTTCCTACTATCTCTGGATTAAGCTAGCGCTTTAGCACGGGCAGAGAATTCAGGAAGAATCATTAGCAGACATGGAATATCAATGAATTAAACAGAAAGCAAAACTACGATTTCGATTCGCCTAGACATTACCCGACACTGTCATGATGCTTGTTTTTGTAAATAGTCTGATTTTAGTGATCGCTTGAGAAGAGAAACAACCTTTCCCTCAAGTGCTAAATGGATAACATTCCAACGTTCTGACGCAGAAGCAAACGCGCCGTTCTTTCCTCTCAGCACGATGTCAGCTCATTACCAAACTGCTGCTTTGCACAAGGAAATTCTAAACATCTGTCGTTATATCAATGTCACGAACAAGAGATGGAATTGTAAAGATACACGGTGTGACGACACCACTAACTTCTATTAAAACAGGGGAATTAAGCAACTGACAAATATAAACACAATTTACTTCAAACTGTTCAAATAATTTTGTTCTTTTGCTTCTACAGATGGCACCAACTTTGAAAGATGTACATTACTGTTTGTAAGCGTCGGGTTGTCGAGACAGACCGAGTTAAACATTCATTTATAAACTGTTCGATTATAAAGCTTTCTACAATAAATGCCTCATTTGGAATTGTCAAGCTTTGACATTGGTGTATTACAATGTGGAAACTTGAGTGATCACTGTGCAAATCATTTTTATTTAACATTAGTACTCAATTGCAAGTTTAAAAATGACATTTTAAATAATGTATTTATCACTGGGGAACAACGCGTCGCACTTCTACTTTCTTTGGGGTGGGTTCGGCGGAGGCAACAGATTGAATTTCGCACCAATGGAGTCTGAATTAAGTTTACCCCCTAGAAATGGTTAAAAACATAATAATGTTCCTGTGTTGCTTTCCATGGGAACAATTTACTGAGTGTAAATTTTAAAGGCACAAAACTTAAGATTTCTTTCTTTACGCGGTTTCTGTTTCCACGTGTGCAGGCATGCATTCATTAAGGCAATTCCGCCACATTTCAACATTTAGGAGGACAAACTTAGTAGCTACGTAAGGGAAAGAGAAAAAAAAATCATGAATATTTAAGTGCCCTCCCTACCTTCAACCCAAAGGAATAGGTATTTAGCACCAACACAGTCCAGTTTATCTGCATATGAATAAGCTGATTGTGCAACACACAAAAGCATTAAAAAAAAGCAAGTCGAAAGTGGAATACAAACCCACATCTCTATAGGGTAATTCATCTCAAGCTTGTCAAATGCTGAAGCGCTGCCATGCTCTGCTGTAAAAACCCATCTCTCAAACCGTTCGAGCAACACACATGCGCGGAATCTCGCCGCTACACATCCCCTTTCCACCCAATCACACACTAGCAACGCCATCACGCAACAAACCTTCATCAGCTCGGCAAGCGAGCTGCAACGGCGGCTGCGCAAAATACCAGCTGCCCCGCCACCTCCCACCGGAAAACGCTGCCGATGTGGACGCGCGCGAGGATGAGGAGCCATGCACGCGTCCGAGGAGCATCTCACACCAACAGTCCCGCGTACCTCCTGTCTCCGCCGCTCATTGGTCTCGCGCACGCAGTGTTGGGGGGTGGTGTGGTGGTAGTTTGCTCGCGCAAGCGCGGATCACATGACGGTTGGTTTTTTTTCTGGAGGCTGTGACGGTGTCTGAGGGTTGAGAGCTCGAGCAGGACCAGGAGGGAAAAAAGAAGCCACATAAGAGCCGTTAGCGTGAGATTGTGTGTTAGTGTGGAGGGATCGTACTGCGCAGCAGAGATAAACTCTCATCATTCACATACGGGAGTTAAAAGAAAGAAATCCCTCTGCGAAAAGCTTCCAGTAAAAGGACAAAAAAACCAAAAAGACAACCCAACAAGGAAAAAAAAAGACAAGGTTTGGGACCGAGAAGACGAGCGAGTGGCTGTTCAACACCGGAACTTTCTAAGCTTTCTCGTGTGTGCGTGTTTCTGGGGAGGGGGGGAAAGTTTTTTTGGAATATGGTTGGGGAAATGGAAAATAAGGAGCGACCAAAACCTACCCCAGACTATCTCATGCAACTGATGAACGACAAAAAGCTGATGAGTAGCCTGCCTAACTTCTGCGGCATTTTCAATCATTTGGAGAGGTTACTGGATGAAGGTATGTAAGGTGGCAACGTGTTTTGGAGGTGGGAGGGGGAAGAAGAGACATGCCTTCACATAAATATAAACACGTTGAAGGGATAGTGCAAATCTGAACTGGCACGTTCTGAGCTTCATGAATACTTGAAACATATTTTGTGAGGTTGTTAGTTCACAGGGAAGGGTGAGGTAGAGCACATGTAGAACCCCCCCCCCCCCAAACTCCTCCCTTCTGGATAAACAGGGAAGTGGTCAAACTCGGGAAATGCATTTGCATAGAATCCATTTATTTTGTCTGGTACAGTTTGGCGATTGTTGATATTTCATATCCTTGAGCACTTATTTGAAAAGTGAAGTGACGTGGGTGATCTTGCATTTGCTGTCTTGTCTAGATTTTTTGGACTGGGGAGAGAAAATCTACATAGAGGTGACAGTAATGACCTCAACAAAGCACCGAGGTAAATGCCTGGAGCATTCCTAGCACAAACCCCTGCAGTGGGGCATCCCACGTCGATATTAGATTCATTTTTGGCATCGAGAAACTCCATGTATCAAACCATGATATGCACTGCTAAGTTTAGTATACGTACATGCGATTTGATCGTTTTCCCACTTTCTTGTTTGGAGCAATATAAATGGATATTAGTTTTGTTTTAGTTGATATGTTTACATGCAGTGTATTCGTGATTTAAAGCATAGCGAGGCGCAGTGTTTTCAACAGCGATGGGTGGGTTCCTGTAGCCCAACCGCGGTTTAAAAACCCGGCGTAGAGGTTGTAAACATGGAGCTTGAGTTGAATGAGTGGCATGTAGTCGGCACAGAGAGCCTGGAGGGGAGGTGGCATAATATATCCGTGAAAAGACTGAGAAAGGCGGGCCTACAGACATAGGGGGACAGACTTTTCGAAACTAGGGCAAATAATTTGAAGTATGGAATATAAGCATTTAAGAGGGTGGGTACCGATTTGAAAGAGACAGCAAAGAGAGTAACTAATAATTGACTGGGTTGTCTTGATCTATACTTAATGAAAAATTTTGTTCAGTATCGAAGTGCCAAGAAACTTATTGCACTTTTTTTGCAGCTTAAGTAACTTGTGTAACTAACATTTTAAATTTTAGTCCTGGGTGTGGCGTTTCTAAACGTGTTGGGGTTTAAATTTTTTTTGTACCTGTGAATGCAAAATATGAAGAGATTATTTCTTGGCCGCTGGGGTTTTGATATAATTTTTGCGGAGCTTGTCTTTGACCATTATTCTAGGTTCATTTAGTCCTGGGTAACAAATAATGGGCGTTGCGCCAAATACGTTAAATAGAGGTAAACGGGGAATAACAGTAAGAACTTGAACAGGAAATCGAGTTATAAGGGAAGCAGACATTGAAACGTTGAAGTACGTAGGGCGCAAACAAGGTTGGTACTCTTTTTGGAGTTCGATCAAGGATTTATTTCACTGATTTTAGGCGGTGTTTTATGTTTTCGTTGATAATTCTGTGTATTTTAAAGAGGAAGTTACAGTCGAAGGAATAATACTTTGAAAAGAGTTCTCAGTAGAACAGTTCAGATTCTTTAATTGAAATGAACCAGTGGAGAAAATAAAGTTTGAAAATATACACAAGAATTGGGCTGTCAAGCGGTTAGATCACATTTCAGACCCACTTTGCTGCAACATTATTACGAAACAATGGCAGATTTAACTCCAAAGGGGGAGGGGAGAAGAGTTAATGCTAGGAGGAAGTGGTCCTGTCCACATTTATCCAGTTACATATGGTACTCTATACAAGTTGCACAAAACTTAAGATAGAGACAGTACATTAATTCACGAACTTTCTTTGGTAAACAGCATTTCTAGAGACCGCACCATCAAATTACAAGGAAAAAGTTCCTCTGAGATGTTTATTGCAAATCGATAGAAATAACATGTTATCTCTTATCACTTTGTATAATCGAGCGTTAGAGCGACGCGTGGCCCTTGTTCTTATTAGCACTCGCATCTGTTACACTCGAATCTATCTATTTGGAATGTATACAATGTTGTCTCGTATCTGTTCATGTTTCTAATTCGGTACTAGCTGATCCAAGCAGTTAGGTCAGAGTTTGACAGTATTTCCCTTTTTTAGCAAAGGAAAATGTACTAAAGTTGAAAGGAAATGCCTGTACAATTAACTCGTTGCTTCTGCTTTAGCTGGGCGTCGGATCCCATTATTGAATCTGACAATGCTGTTACATAAAGCTGCCAAACTTAGTGCAAGTTCCATTTTTGAGCGCTAGGGTGTGCCAAATCTTTCCTCGAGGAATCAGTGAGGGTATTTCTTCCCTTTTTTAGAGAAACTTTAACTTCAGTAAATGCGTTCAGCAAAGGTGCCAGACACCTTTCCATACTATGCTGATAAGTATTTGCTCCAAGTGCTGATTGATATTCAAATACCACTACATAGTGGTTCTGCAGATTAGTCTTTATATCACTAATCAAAGTATTTTCACGTTGATGATTTGTTTAAATTGGAAGGAAAATATTACCAGAAACCTTACCTTGCCATTTCAATTTTAATATAATGTGAATGTTAAAATGAAAACGAACTTGGTTTAATTTTTTAAAAAATTAAATATAAAGCAATTACTATGCTCTTGTGTGACCACAGTTTCTGTTTTGTAGAACAAAAGAACACAACGTTGTAACAGTGGTGATTTAATAAAAAGTTTATTGTTTCAATAATTCAGACAGTTTTACTTGAATTTCTGGACCTTGATCAAATTTGTGTTGTGTGCTATCTGCAATCTCTGTATTTCTAATCAATAGCTATATGTTTTACCTTTCTCTGAACTTAATCTACAATCCAGAGGATGTGGGAACTACTTCTAAGTTTCTATTCCAGCAGTTACAATAGAACATTGAACTCCCAAGTTTGTTGAACATCGCTGAGACAACCATCTGTGCCTGACTGGTTTACAGGAGTTCCTTTCCACATCTTCAGGAAACCATGCTTGGTAGCTTGATTAAAAACCAGCATTCTGTAGGTGATACATATTCATCTTTTGTCAGAAGGATTTGGAACACTTTTTACTGTAATTTTCATTACTAAGGCATTCTGTGAACTTTGCTTCACTGGACCTTTTTTAAAAAGTATGCACCGACCTGGAGTAATTTTATAGTGAGATTTTAAGGGCATATGACCAACAGGATAATCAGTAGGAAGTGCATTTTTATCACAGTGCAGCAAGCATTGAGAAGAGGAATTTTTGGGAGCGAGAAATTGCATGTTTCCTGTGATTGTTAGATTCCATGTCTGATTTGTATGTTGCATAAGGCAGAGGGTTTAATGATAATGAGTGGATGAAGCAAACAATAATTTGATACACTAAATCTTTCAAGCCTCCCCCATCCTTATGCCCTAAGACATTCAATATTTTCTCCTTTTTGGCTCAGTTTCAATTTTTTGTTTAATTGTGGTCATGTGAAATATCAGGATGAAGACACTTGTATAAATACAAGTTGCTGTTGTCTATTTTGTTTCCTTTTTATTTGTTTCCATAGCTTGGTATTGTTGGAAGGGAGAAGGATAATATGATTCACATGATTTGTTCTGTATAATGGATTTAGATTAGTAGATAAAATTCTAACTTTGGCTGATAAGTACATTATATATATATTCCCTTATTGTGATTTCAGGCTGTCAGAACCAGCAAAAATTCTGCATATGTACTTGCTAGGGATGGGAGAGTTCTGCTGCCTGTTGAATTTAAAGTACTTTGTGCATTCAGATGGAAGAACATTTGATTTATTTACACAAGTTTTGAAAATTTTTTTACTGTATCTAGGCTGTCTTTCGCACTTTGTAAATTCCGTTTATATTTCACTCTGTGGTGTTTAAATCCAGCAGTATGACAAGTTAGATGAACCTCTGAATCTTTTCCTGGCCATCGTTTTTAATGTTCACGGAAGCGGCTTCTTTACTGTGTCTATCGCAGCTTCTCTTGAGGGTCAGTTCAGAATTTCTGTCTAGTAACCTGTGTTTGTGATGCACAAAATTGCTTATACCATTAAAATATTGATGACCTCATTAATGTACTATCTAATTTAAGTAGTATTTGTAAGATGTGCAACTTGTAGCTTAAAATCCTGACAGTTAAATGCATTTTATTTGATTTAACTTGCTTTAAGTAGTTAACCATAGGTTAGGAACAGATATGGAGCAGTATTATTTTGACACCTTCACATATTCAAAGTTTTTTATTTTTTCTTTGAGTGCAGAACATATCGCAAAGAAACAGTAATTCTGCAATCAAAGTGTAGGGGTTGGCGAAGGTGACTGTATTCCAGACTGATTTTTGCTGTCATTATTTACAAACAAGTCCTGAACACTCCAGCCCTAGGTGTCTGACACAAAAATTTTACACGATCAGTTATATTCAGTAACAAACCATGACCCAGTAACCTTAAGATTTTGAACAAGTGTTATTTTTGGTTTAAATTCACAAGTTTTTGCAGTTTTCTGGTCCCTATTTGCAAGGATGTTCAGGGTAACTTTGAATATATTCAGTATTGTAAATAATTGAACTATTTGATATTGAGTTATTTTTGCTTTATTGCTTATAATGGAGATATGCATTGAAGCTTTTCATCTTGCATTTCTCAGAACAGATAGAACACTTCAAGGAGCAATTTTGCATAATTAATTAGCTAATAGTGGATCTTATCAAACAGGTCTCTGTTCACATTTTACGGGAAGCAGTGTACTGACTGTACTCAGCCCAGTCCATGCTTGCAAAACTCACAACCTAGAATTGCATCTAATGTTGCACACTGCAATTGGACAGCCTTTGTCAAACAATCCTAAATGGGATATGAATTACACTAACAACCAATTCAAGAATATCCGGGTGAGGGAGCAGAGTCTGGTGTGCTGGTAAACAATTATTCTGTGGTGAATTCTGTATTGAAATGACAGAATTTAATTACCAACTAATTTCCTTGTGCACTACCAATTGTTGTTTTCTTTGAAACTTGGTGTTCTTGCATCAGTCCTGATGAGAGCAAGATGGAAAGCTTTGACAACGTGCCTGTATTCTCAGCAATACTCAAGTTTTGTACTACCAAGTTTCAATTTTAAACTTGCAACTGTTTCACAACTCAATTTTAAGAAAGGTTGATCCTGTTATTTTCTCAATTGATACAGCAAGGGTCAACCATGATCTCTAATATCAAACTGTCAGCAAAAGGTTAATGTTTCATTATGAAATGTTTTTTAGATGTGTTACAGCTAATCTAAAATATAGCACATAATCACAAATACCTAATTAACTCTAAGTGTACAGTTGTTGTGATTTAGATTTAATTTGGGCTTTAAGAACTCTGTAAATGTCTACAGTGGTATAAAGACTTTTTTTTAAGGAAAAGAGCTGTGAACTCAATACTCAGCAGGCTTTGTTACCCTTTTTCTTGTGGTGAAGGACTGCTCTTGATTGTAAAAATAAGAAATTAGTTTGTATAAAATTCCCCAGACCTCTACCTCGTGAATTAGGTGCTGGGTACAAAAATATGTGCAAAAACATACTTCCATGGGGGTTACTGACTTTTTTGATTTCATTTATTGTAGTCACTTGTGCCTAAGGACAGTGAAAAGCTTTGTTTTGGTAGCAGTACAGGCAAATCATAGCAAATGAGGACGTACAGATCACAGAGCACTGAAGATCTGAATACGAACATTTCCTGTACTTGCGAGCAGCACCTTTTATATTGCGCTGCATTGCGTTCCGATTTAAGTACAAATCAACTTGTGAATGGACTCCTGTCTGGAACCCGTTCACGCCACAGTGCCTGTATGTGTCAACAGTTTCAGCTTGTTACTATGAGACCCAATATTTGAGTTTGGTTCTTGAGTGCATTTAATGCAGAAATAAACTGTCTGTATAGTAAATATTTGCAGCCAATTGACCAATCCAGTAATAATCATGTGATACCAATTTTTCACAATACTGCACTTGGCCACTGTCAACTGTCCCTCTTGATGTTTTGCACAGCTGCTATTAATCCAGTTCAAATTTTCTGAAAAGTAAATTTACAGAACACAATCATCCTGGTACAAAAGCATTGAAATGTTACATTATAGTTCCAGAATTCTTCTAGTCAAATCACATTTCACAATTATACCCTTGTGTGATGCTCAGATGTTATACCAAAAGGATTATTTAACAGTTTTAGTAAACATATTTGTACAAGAGATAAAGGGACCAAATAAAGATTTTTGAAATTGTTTTTAATTTGTGGGGGGGGCGGGGAAGAATCCTTCTTTCATTCCCCGAAATTCCATACATATTGCACCTGTAAACCTTCATACAACTGTCACTTAGTGACAAATTCACACAGTGTGGCATGATTGAATTTTGTGCTGTTCTTTGGTGTTGTAGTTAAGAACTTTATTTCTCATTCACTCTGACATAAGTGTACTTTCTTCTTGGCCTCATTCCTTAACAACATGTTACCTGATCAAGACTCTTATTTTACTGATGATGCAAATGCATTATTCCGTCAATCCCAATAGTGCCCCATTCACACTTGCAACCTCAAAGACTTGCCATTCAATAGCAAGTTTTAATTGAAATTTAAATGTACAAAATGAGATGGTGTGTATGGGCAATGCACATACCGGATATCAATTAGGAACAAAACACTCACTTTGCTCCCATATACGCAGATTTTAGATAGCTAATTCACACAGTTGCTTGTGGTATCTGTGCTCAGTTCCATGATATGGGATAAATACTTTGATTTTGTTTTTAATTCTCTCTCTCAACATCAGAAAAACTAAAGAACTGATCAATTGACTTCAGAAAGAAAGGAGAACACGCCCCCATCTACATCAACAGAACTGAGGTTGAAAGGGTGAAGTGTCAAGTTTCTCAGTGACAGTAACCGACAACCTGTCTTGGACTTCCCACATAGATGTGACAGTCAAGAAGGCATGACAATGCCTCTTCTTCCTCAGGTGGCTCAGGAAATTTGGCACGTCCATGAGGACCCTCGCCAACATTTACAGATGCGCCATTGAAAGCATGCTGTTCGGGTGGATAATGGCCTGGTATGGCAACTGCTTTGCCTAGGACTGTAAGAAACTACAGAAGGTTGTGTCCGCAGCCCAGACAATCACGGAAGCCAACCTTCTAGCCATAGACTCTGTTTATACAGCTTGTTGCTGCAGAAAGGCTGCCAGCATTATCAAAGACCCATCGCACCCCGGTAATGATCTCCTGTGCCTGAAGAGGTTGTAGAAGTTTGAGCGCACACCCTGACAGGCTCAGGAACAGCTGCTTCCTAGCTGTTATAAGACTGAATGGACTCTCGAGCCTCAAATAATGCTGATCTTGCTAATGTTGATCTCGCCTAGTGCATGCCCTGTGCAGTGTAACCTGTATGCCTCAAGTTTTGTTTTACAACCTTTGATCTGTACATCCTTGCTTACTATGATCTGCCTCTACTGCTCATAAAGCTTTTCACTGTACTCTGGTACATGTCACAATAAATCAATCAGTAAATTAATCAATCACTTTGTTTTAGCAAAATGGCAGGATTAACAGTTTAACTAACTTCATTGCTGCAATGCGTTGCTGATTTTCCAAGCTTGCAAAACTGAACAGCGTGGTGCTGAGCTAAGGCTGGGATCGCTCTTGTTGTCGTCGTTGTGGTTGTATCTAAAAGCCCAGTGAAAAGAAAACATATGCATTCACTGGAAGATAATGCACCCCTGCAGAAAAAATGCTTCCTTTGTCAAAATGGGTAAAATAAATAAAGAAACTTGTTCCAGGTCAGTTTTTCTGGTCTCTGTATTTATAGTTCTTTATAAGACCAGTATTTTAGTTTACTAATACACCATTGAAAACATGTGCTTAACCAAATAGACATGACTGAAATCTGAGGAATCCATTTCATTAGTTGCTTATTTTGGGCTATTTCTGGATCAGGAAGTTGAATTTGCAGGATGTACTGAAACAACTAGAGAAAATATACACCGTCCCCGTTTCCTTACAGAATCGTTTGCTTTCCAAAAAACTGCCTGGTTCCCAGTCTCCTGCACTGTGTGGTGGAAATTGCAGTCTTGATGAGCTGACACGAAGGTCATGATTGTCCTGTCTGACAAGAAACACATTCAAACAGAGGTCTACCTGCAGGGCTGTGAACTGCAAGAAAACATAGTAGCACTGCATTTGGGTTGTTGTTTGTCCATAATCTTCAAAGTAAGATGCAGTCCTGTGTAGTTTTATGCACACGAAATCACATATTAGGACAAAAATGTAAGTGTGAGGTAAATAAAAGTTTCTGTAATGAGCAAAGAAGTGAAATTGGCATAAGATCAGTTGCATAATACCAACTAAAATCAGTGAACATCATTTCATACCTAATACTGATGATTCTTTGTCTGTCTGTCTGTCTGTCTGTCTGTCATGAAGAGTGGCTCAGCAGCGCTACCACTGTCCAAATTGGTTGAGTCCTGAAGGACATAGTTGCTAGTCTGGGTCTCTGGCAGATGGTGAGGGAACCAACAAAAGAAAAACTTGGAATTCTTCATTTCAGATGGAGAGTGACATAATTGGTCCTGAGATGAGGGTTTTAAATCTAAATAAAGGAAACAATAATGGTATGAGGTGTTAGCTGACTATGATAAACTGGGGACCCTTTTCTTAAAGGGATGATGGTGGAGAGGCAATGGCAAACATTTAAAGTGTGCATGGTGGAACTGCAACAATGGTTCACTTCTATCTGGCACAAAAACAAATGGGAAAGATAGCCAAGCCTGTGGCTAATGAGGGAAATTAGAGATAGTAAAGGACCAAGGAAGGGGCATATGAATTGGCCTTAAAAAGCAACAGACCTGAGAATTTGGAGTATTTCGATTTCAGCAAACGAGAACAGAATTGCTTAAGAGGGGCAAAGTAGAATACAAATGTAAGCTTATGGGGAACCAAATAATTGATTTGTAAAAGCTTCTATATGTATGTGAAGAGAAAAAGACATTGAAGATAAATGTAGGTCCCATGCAGTCAGAAACATGAGAAGTTACAATGGGAATCAAAGTGATGGCAGACTAATTTCATATATTTTGGCTCTGTCTTCACAAAGGACACATGTTCCAAAAGTGTTGGGGAATGCAGACTCTAATGAGAGAGAGGACCTGAAGGAAATCAGTATTAATGGGAGAATGGCATTGGGGAAATTGATGGGATTATGGGTTGTTTAAATCCCCAGGGTATGGTAATCTACATTCCAGAGCACACAAGGAAGTGGCTCTAGTGGTCATCTTTCAAGATTCTATAGATTCTGCAACAGTTCCTATGGTTTGGAGGGTAGCTGATGTAACCATACTCCTTTTTAAAAGTAAGTTCGAGAATACAGGGAACTGTAGACAGGTTCAGTTGACGTCAGTAGTGGGGAAAATGCTAAAGTCAGTTTTCAAAGTGCTGTTATTAAATCTTTCAAAACAGTAACAGGATAAGACACAGCATGAAATTATGAGAGGGAAATCGTGTGACAAACTTGCTAGTGTTTTTCAAGAAAAAATTGAAAGAACTGTGAATGCTGTGAATCAAACAAATACAGGAGTTGCTGGAAAAGCTCAGCCGGTCTGGCAGCATCTGAAGAGAAATCAGGGTTAACGTTTCAGGTCCAGTGACTCTCAGAACTTCCCCAGTTCTGAGGAAGGGCCACCAGACCTGAAACGTTAACCCTGATTTCTTTTCACAGATGCTGCCAGACCTGCTGAGCATTTCCAGCAACTTCTGTTTTTTATTAGTACTTGTCAAGGATGTATCTAGTAGAGCCGATATGGGGAAGAAAGTACATGTGGTTTACTTGGACTTTCAGAAGGTTTTTGATGATATCCCATTTAAGAGATTAGCATGTAAAATTAAAACCCATGGGATTGGTAACAATGAACTGACATGAATAGAAAACTGGTGGGCATGCAGCAACCAAAGAACAGGAACAACTTGGTCTTTTTCCAAGTGGCAGGCAGTGACTAGTGAGGTACTGCAGTGATCAGTGCTGGGACCCAGACTGGTTTAAGCTTGAGTAAAATCTGAAAGAACTGCGGATGCTGTAAATTAGGAACAAAAACAAAGTTGTTGGAAAAGCTCAGCAGATCTGGCAGCATCTGTGAAGGGGAGAAAAAGAGTTAACGTCAGAGGAGGGGTCTGCCAGACATGCTGAGCTTTTCCAGCAACTTTGTTTTTGTTCCTGGTTTAAGGTTGACCAGACTAATGTACGAAAAGAGACTGGATTGTTTGGGCCTATGTTCATTGGTGTTTAGAAGAAGGGAGGAATCTCGCAAATGTAGGAAGAATGTTCCCAATGCGTGGGAGTCCAGAGTCAGGACAGTTTGAGAAAAGGGTAGACCATTTAGGACTGAGATGAGGAAATTTCCTCACTCAGAGTGGTAAGCCTGTGGAATTTTCTTTCACAGATGGCAGTTGAAGACAAAACATCGAACGTTTGCAAGGAGTTAAGTATAGTTCTTGGGGCTCAAGGGATGGGGCGAAAGTCAGAATAGGGCACTGAGTTGGATGGTCAGCCATGATCATATTGATTGACAGGGCTGAGTGGCCCACGCCTCCTATTTTCCCTATTTGTTTACTCGACCACCTGCTCACCAATCTGCCTACTGTAGATGCACCTTTTCCGTGACACTTTTGGTAGGAGCACTGCACTGTCCTCTGAGACAAAATCCTGTCTTCACATTGAGGATACTCTCTATCATACTGTGGTTGTGCTACCATGTTAAATTTGATAGATTTCAAACCTATCTAGCAACTTTTAAGGTTTCATGTTCCTTGAGGTACTGTGTGGGCTGTCAGTAGCAGAATTGTATTCAAACATGCACTCCTCCATTTACCATCAAGTAAGGAAGGCAACTCTGGCTCGATGAAGAGTGCAGTGAGGTGTTAACCTGTTGAAGCTATAGCACATTACTCTTTACATGCCAAACAGCAAATAATAACCTTTGCTAAGTGATTCCACAGCTAGTGATTCAGAACTATAAACTCTGCAGCCCTGAACTATCCAGGTGTGAATGGTGCTAGATAATTAAAGAACACTGGGCAATACAAATATCCCCATTCCTTGTGATTTTTGGGAGCCCAGTGCAAAAGATGAGGGTGAAGTATCCGGACTGCTGGGTGGATGATCAATCTTGGCCTTATTGGAGGTGCCCAGCACCATAGATGCTGATCATCAGCCAATTCAGTTCACCTCGTTTGGTGAGAAGAAACTGCTGAAAGCACTGGATACTGCATAAACTATAGGCTTTGGGCTATGACAACAAGCGGCAAGAATACTGAAGACGTGCAATTTGCCAAGCTGTTTCAGTACAGCTATAGCCTGCTGATCTATACCTGACAATGTGAAAAATTGACAGGTATGTCCAAAAAGCTTTGTGTAGCATAAATTCAGCACAATTGCTGTCCATCAGTGTATTCTAGATCATCAGTAAGATGATGTAGGGGCCATCAACAATCCTATGCTCAACCATCCTCATTCACTTCATGAATGATTTTCCTTTCAGTGTTACATCAGAAGTGGCAATGTTTGTTTGCATAATGTTGAGAACTACTGCGACTCATCAGATAATGAAGCAGTCCATGCCCAACTGCAGTAAGACCTGGACAATATCTAGGCTTGGGTTGACAATTGGCAAGTAAAATTTATTCCCTACAAGTGGTAGGCAGTGCCTACCTTCAAGAAAACTGAGCCATCGCGTTCAGAGACACCAATTCTCTGAATCCTCTGTCCACATCCTAGAGGCTATGGTTGACCAGAAACTAAACTGAACCAGTCATACAAATAGTGTCTCCAAGACCAGGCCAGAGGCCAGGAATCCTGCAGTGAGTAGCTCTCCCCCTGACTCTCTGAAGCCTGTTAACCATTTACAAGACACAAGTCAGGAGTTTGCTGGATTGCTGCCCACTTGCTTGGATGAATGCAACTCCAACAACATTCAAAACACCTGACTCCATCCAGGACAAAGCTTGATATTGGCATCACGTCCTCAAACATCCACTTCTACCAAAAATGAGGCACACTGATGCGTTGACATGATGCAAGATGTTGGTTAGGCCATTTTTAGAATACTGTGTTTAATTCTGGTCTCCCTGCTATAGATAAGATGTTGTGAAACTTGAAAGTGTGCAGAAAAGAGTTACAGGGATGTTGCCAGAGTTGGAGGGTTTGAACTATAGGGAGAGACTGAACAGACTGAGGGTATTTTCCCTGGAGCATCGGGGGATGAGGGGTGACCTTGTAGAAGTTTATAAAATCATGAGGGGCACAAATAGGGTAAACAGTCAAGGTCTATTCCCCAGGGTACAGAGACATAGATTTAATGTGAGAAGGGAATGTTTAAAAAGGACCAGAGGGGCAACTTTTTCATGCAGAGGCTGGTGCATATATGGGATGAATGGCCAGAGGAAGTGATGGAGGCTGGTAGAATTACAACATTTAAAAGGCACCTAGATGGGTATATGAACAGGAAGGGTTTGGAGGAATATGGGCTAAATGGGACTAGATTAATTTAGGGTATCTGATTAGCATGGACAAGTTGGACTGAAGGGTCTATTTCCATGCTGTACATTTCTATGACTCTATGACGGCAGTGTGTACCACCTAATAAGATGTGCTGCAAAATTCATCAAAGATCCTTAGGAAATGCTGCCTAAACCCACAATCATTACTGTCGAGAAGGCAAGGGTAGCAGATAAATGGGAGCACCACCTCCAGTAAGTTCCCCTCCGAGGCATTCAACATCCACACTTGGAAATGT